TTCATCTTGGTTGACTTTTGGACCAACCACTTTGGATTGTTAATTAGATGTCAGTGTTTCCCATCTTTGCTCAACAAATGACTATAGCAACATTTCCAAAAAGCAACTGACTTTAGTTTCCAGCCCTGACATCATACATAGAAAGTCCACAAGGCAGTTTACAGACAAATACTTCTGCAACAACACTCATTAGAATGCAAAAAAAAAAAAAAAAACAAAACAAAAGGGAACAAAGTAGGCATAGTGTATGTGAGAAGAGCATCCTGCAGGTGATATTTGGGGAGCTGTGTTGCTCAGTGGTAAGCTGTCACTAATGGCTATTATTGTGCAACACCCAAGTCACCTTGAGTATGATTTTACATAGTTAAGCTTATTAGAAGAATGTAGAAGGGATTGGATGAGTATCTTGCAATTGTCCCTCATATGGATGACTGCAAGAGGGAACCAAGGTCAACAGACATTTTGTTTACTATTTTTGGAAGGCATTCAGAGTGTTTGGGACATTTTAGCTCACAACAATGAAATCACTCAACCAGATAGATAGGATTTTAGAGTTAGCGTATGTGAAACTAGATTAACACAGCAGATTCTTAATCTAATCCAGGGACAGCAAATGTCACTTTCCATTATAAAGAATTATTTTATGATCTCAGAAAAAGGATAACCCTTCTGAAGCCCCCAGAAAACTAGAAGATTCAATGCCAGTCAAATCCCATATCCCCACACTAAAGGACTATATAATTCTTGAGTTGCTCTGGAATTTTATTGTACTGAATATGTGTGAAGTAAATAGGCTATACTCAATGCCATCAAGTTGATTACAACTCATAGCTATGCTGTAGGACCTGTAGGGTTTCCAAGGCTATAATCTTTACGGAAGCAGACTGCTACATTGTTCTCCTGTAGAGTAGCTGGTGGGTTCGAATGAACAACCTTTCAGTTAGCAGCCCAGCGCTTAACTACTGTACCTAGGATGTGTGAATCTTTTTTCTTAATGACATTTTTATTTTAATGAGATTGCTGTCATGGGATTATAGTTCAAAATGTAAGAATAAAAACACGTTTCAGACCACTTTTCTTTCTCTCTTTCTTTTTTTGGTGCTAGTTTGTTGAATATATCTGCTTTGTAACTGAGGTTGCTTTTGATTTGAGTCATTGGACTCATTCTCCAACAAGGGGGCAAAGCTACTGAAGAAGGAGCAGTACTAAAAAGATCAGTGGTTACCAGTGGTTCAGAAGGTGGTGAGGGGAGGAAATAATAGGTAGAGCACAGGACATTTTCAGGGCAATGAAACTATTCTGTAGGATACTATGTAGTAGGGGACACATGACATTATGTATTTGCCAAAAACCCACAGAACTGTACAGCACAAAGAGCAAGCCCTAATGTAAACTATGGACTTTAATTAATAACAATGTATCAACATTGGTTCATCTGTTGTAACAAATGTACCACACTAATGCAAGATACTAATGACAGGAGAAACAGTGTGCTAGGGGAGAGGGAATATATGGGAAGTCTGTACTTTTTGTTCAATTTTTCTGTAAACCTAAAACTGCTCTAAAAAATAAAGTCTACTTAAAAAAAACGAAGGAGGAAAAAAGATAGAAAGCTAGCAACATCTGTAGAGACAACCTGACCAACATTAATTGAGAATGACTACAAAGTATCGGGTATGCTGGAAAGTACAGAGGACGTAGAGTGAATTAGGCATTGCCCTTGCTCTCAAAAGGCTTACTCTTTTCTGGAAGGAGGAGGAGCAAACATCTAACTCACTTCTTGTTCTTTTGTGAAGGGGAGATGAGTCACCAAATGTGGCCTAACCTGTGAAAGCCACCAATCTTTGAACTCTAGACACTGCAGGTTAGAAGACTGTTAAATATCATTTACCCCAAATGCCAAAATTTAACAGACAAACAGAAATCCAGAAAAGTGAAAGAATTTATCTAAGATTGCAGGGTTGGGACTAGACTCTGAATTTCCTGACTTCTAACCAAGCACTCTTTATATTATACTATCTCTCTTAGAATTCAATGGTTTTGTTGTTGTTGTTTTGTTTTGCTTGTTTGTTTGTTTTTTTAATCATTCTTTGGTCTTCCCATAGTAAAAACCATTAAACCCATTGCCGTTGAGTCGATTCCAACTCATAGCGACACTATAGTACAGAGTAGAACTGCCCCATAGAGTTTTCCAAGGAGCGCCTGATGGATTTGAACTGCCGACTTTTTGGTTAGCAGCTATAACTTTCACCACTATACCAGCAGGGTTTCCTTCCATAGTAAAGCTGTACCTAATTATGTTAATTAGACTTAGATTCATAGAGCCCATGCCCTCTGCTCTTTTACCTCTACACTTTGTCCTTCAAAAAGTCTAATTCATAGTTTCAACTCAACAGATTAAAAAGTATATTGAGTACTAACCGTGGTGTAGGCAGTAGAAAGCCTACCAAACCTAGTAAAGCACATTCCCTACCTCTGAGGAATTTAGTATAATATTCTCAAATGCCAAAGTTATATATATGAAACTCATCATCACCACCCAATCAAGTGTTCTAGTGGAAATCTCCTTTTTAGGTCCTTAATGCTCAAGGCCCCAGTGTAAAAATCTTGAAGGTATTTTCACTACTCTGGCTTGAAAGTCAGAGTACTTGGTTTTTAATCCTTGCTCTACTGTTAACCAATTAGTTTTGAAATCCTGGGCAAGTCTTACCTCTCTGGGCTTAATATCTTCAATCAGTAAAATTAGGAGAGTGCCAGCTTCTGTGATTCACCTTCCTTTTCAGATCCAATCAGGTACTAAGTTAATCAACTTATTTTATCTCATTTACTTTTTGCATATCTCTTGAATTTCTTTCTCCTCCTCCATGTTCATCATAGCTGAGTTGAATCCCTGGATTACTGTTAATAGCCTTCAGGCTCTTAAGGGCAGATGTGATTTGTTGAAAGCAATTTAAAGTAAGATATAGCCTAGAGATATATAGACTGGACACTAGAAAACCAATTAAGATGTTTTAGAATAAAGGAGTCTGTCTTAGTTATGTAGTGCTTCTATAATGGAAATACCACAAGTGGATGGCTTCAACAAACAGAAGTTTGTTCCCTCACAGTCTAGTATACCAGAAGTCCAAATTCAGGTCATCAGCTCCAGGCGAAGGCTTTTTCTCTCTGTTGGCCCTGGAGGAAGGTCCTTGTCATCAATCTTCCCCTGGACTAGGAGCTTCTCTACGCAGGAACCCCGCATCCAAAGGACACACTCTGCTCCTGGTGCTGCTTTCTTGGTGGTATGAGGTCCCCCCTACTGTGCTCACTTCTCTTTCCTTTTATCTCTTGTAAGATAAAAGGTGATGGAGGCCACACCCCAGGGAAACTCCCTTTACACTGGATCAAGGATGTGACCTGAGTAAGGGTGTTACAGCCCACCCTAATCCTCTTTAACATAACCCAAACTTACCTTATTAACCATAGGCAGAGATTAGGGTTTACCACACAGAGGAAAATTATATCAGTCATGAAATGGAGGACAACCACACAATACTAGGAATAATGGCCTAACCAAGTTGATACATATTTTGCGGGGGACACGATTCAATCCATAACAGAATCCCTGGTGTAGTTAAGTGCTTGGCTGCCCACCGCAAGGTTAGAGCTTTGGGTCCACCCAGAGGCACCTACCTAGGAAGAAAGGCCTGGCAATCTACTTCTGAAACCTCACGGAGCATACTCTACTCTGATACACAGTGGGTTGCCATGAGTTGGAATCAACTCCACGGCAACTGGTTTGGTTTTCTGGTTTTACAATAAAAAACAATCTCAAACTAAAAGCCTGTCATTCAAGTTCCTAAACGCTGGCTTCAGTTGGCCTTTCTGCTTTTATTCCCCATGCCTCCTTAACATACGGCCTGTTCCTACCACATCTTCATGTCTTTAACATTGCTTTCTCTTTCCTCCTATGTGGAAAGTCTTACCCTTTTGTAAACTGAATTCTAATAGTTTCATTAAGGCCAATTTCTTCCATGGAGCCAGTAATCTTTCTTTTAATTCCTATACAAATAATTAGAGTACAAACAATAATCCTCTTTCCTAATTCCATCTCATGAATACTGTAAGCATAATAGACACGATATGTAAAAACTCTCAACCAACACTAATGAAAGAATACATATAAAGGTGTTTATACATATAAATTGTATAACTTATTTTATTATTCCTTCTTATTTCTTCTGTAAACCAAAATAAGCTAGTGGTTGTTCATTTTTTTGGTAGAGGACTAATCTGTATTTTAAAATTATTTTAGAATGTTTAAGAAGAAGAGTATTAAAATAGGTTTTCTTGCTCTGGGCAGTTTCTAATGGATGAAGGTATCTGGACAAAAGTATATGAACAGTTGTCAATTAATATATGTCTAGTCTAGGCAGATATTCAAATAAACAGGGAGTAATGTTATATAAATTTTGTCAGGGTAGCTTACTCCATTGATAGATAAGCTCTGAAGACTTTATTTATTTTTCAGTTATGAAACACTGCCAATCTGACCAAATGATTGCCAATGTTAGTGTTAACAATAGTAGAGAAGCATTTGAGGGAAAACTTAAGGTTTTACTTTCTCTCTTTTAGATTCTCTAATTGCTGCTTGAACTCTGATTTGAATACCTTCTTCGGATAAAGGCCACAACTACAGGAGTAAAAGGGTTTCATGCGGCAAGAGTAAAGTGGCACTGTCATATCCCATCAATCCCTTCAGTACCCACTCTCAGAGAACATTCACTGTGCTCTCTTGTACCAACTCCAAAAGAGTTTCCCAAGAAATGACTTTCAAGCAGTCACTACTGCCCATTTGTCATAACTGGAAAAAAAAATGTATATCCGTTATGTTACAAAAAGATCCTGTTATCCAGTGTTTGCTAATTACGATTGAGACCAGAAACAAAGTTTCAAAGAAAACAACTGAAGGGAACATCTGAAAGCAATTTTCCCCCATTCTTTGTTGCTCTGCTACTCACGGCAAATCTTCCAAACTGGAGGCTTCATGTCTTGGATCCAACAGATCATAACCACATTCATTGTAGATTTCCAAATAGGAAATGTGTGTTGTATATATTTTGCTGCTGTCCTGATTGGAAAAGGGAAAGACATTATTTAATGGCTATAAATAACAATTCAGTTTAGAGGAAAATGAACACGTTTATCTCTGTAGCTTCCTCACTGTGTCTTTCCTCTTCTCTATGACTTTGAATACTTTATATTTTCAGTTTGTGACACTTTCAAGTTGTAAGTTACCATATGCATAAAGATTTTTTTTAAATGGCCAACACCCATGATTACAATCAACTTCAGTCGGTTACTTTTTACTGGTTCCATGTTATACATAAAAAGTCAATACACACTTAAAATGAGCCAACTCGGTTGCAGAACTGTATGATACACCAGTTTTTACTTTCCAGATTAAAAAAAAAGGGGGGGTTACCAAAAAGAAATAAACTTACATTCTATGAATAGTCTATTCACAAAAGAACACAAATCACCACTCTAGTCTAAAAACTCCAGTACCAAAATAGTTTCCATCTTTAATCATCGTTCTTTTTTTACTTTTCTAATATTCAGAATTTTTCATCGACATAAATAGATTATAGTGAAAGTGAGTTCCAGGGTACAGAAAATAGTTTAGATCAGTTAGGTAAGAGTGGACATTAACAGTTCACTGCCTGTTGGGTTAATTTTCCTGGCCCAAGTGGGCAAATCAGGGATATTTGGCTATTGGTTAGAGACAGGTGTTTTCTATGGGTCATTGCTGAAATGTAATGACATAGGCATCAATGTAATGGGGCTAAAAGTCAAGATGACTGGTCCTAGTCTCAGTTCTGCCAACAGACAAAAGAGACACACTCCCTCTCAGATGGAATAAATCAGGGACTTTCTTTCCAGCTCTTAAGAAATTTCCAAGTTCAGTTTTTAGTACAAAATATCAAAAAATAGCACCTTCTTATTCCTCCCAAAATACAAATAATCCCACTCTGCAAATATCATCCAGCTTCTCACCAGAGGACAATATATTTGTGTTTATGGCAACAAGGTTGGCAGGTTGTCCAGGGGCTACTAACACAGAGGATTTGCTTAGGATGACCTTCCTGATTGATTCCTGCCCAGATCCAAGACAACCAATTCATCAGGTACTGTTCAAAGGGAGAGAGGGCCAAGTCATAGAGAACAGTGGCCTGCAAATCAAAAGCTAGATCTCTAGTCCAATTTAGCTGGAAGCCCTTACCATGTCATGTCTCAGCTTTAACACCCATAAAGTGAGAAAGTTGAATAATGAATTTCTAAGTGTTCCTCAGTTTTAAATGAACATAATCAATATTAACTAATACTAACAGCATTAGTATTAATAAATTACTATGATTCTCAGGTCTTAACAAACTACTCAGATACGCCACCATCACATAACACAAAATAACAGGTGAAAAATTAAGGTAACTCTCAGCCAGGACATGACTATAATACTTGAGTGTTTACTCAAGCTGCCACTGAAATTCCATGTTCTGGTATTCCGCGAAGGTGACAACATGGACTGAAGCTCAACTAAACAAATTTCTATCAGTCAAATGCTGGAAATCCTGCTGATGTGGGTGGACAATGACTGCTTACCCTGACAAATGGCCTATGATTTCTATTAGTACCCTAGTTTAGGGAAAACACCATTGCAACAAAAATTTTTTGGGTTGTAACTTGGCTTAGCACAGGTGTCAGAGACCATAAACACTAGAGAGAGTCTCTGTGGCCTTTAGTCTACTGCAGTGTTTCCAAAGACATCCCATGAAATGCTCTTGGAAAAAAGGGTTCCATGGTCAACATATATACTATATCCCTGTCCTGAGCATTCTCAGAGCAGGTTAAAGATCCAATGGCACCTTTTAGCAACATGATGATTTCCTGTTTATTGTATTTCTAAAACTTATCTGAACACAGAGAAATAGCGCATAGTTAAGGTTTGAGATTTTAGCACAAAGTTCTGAGCTGGTCTTAGCATCAGACAGAAAAAGAGGTTTGACTACTGGATCTGCCATTTATACAAGTGTGCTTGTACCCTAACGCTCGATTGTTTCACCATAAAAATGGTGATAATAACCTTAACTGGCAGACCAGACAGAGAAATAAGGTTCTGTGAGTCCCTGAGTGGTGCAAATTGTTAACACGCTCAACTGCTAACCAAAAGATTAGAGGTTTGAGTCCACTCAGAGGTGCCATGGATGAAAGCCCTGATGATCTACTTCTGAAAAACTGGTCATTTAAAACCCTATGGAATACATCTCTACTCTGACACACATAGCGCCACCATGAGTCAGATTTGTCTCAATGGCAACTTGTTTGTTTAAAATACTAAAAAGATGTACGGCCCATAATAGACAGCTACAAATGTTACTGCTGCTGTTGATACTATTATTATTGTTTTTATTATTTCTAAAAGCCTCCAAACGGAGAATTAAGTTTGTGAATATAAAAGGTAAAAGAAAGGCAGAAAGAAGGGCCAACTTGTATGTTAGGCTGCAATGGGGAAACTTTCTTCTTCTGGAAATTAGAAGAAATCATAAAAATTCTGGAAAACGGCAGGTCCACTGCTCTCAAGTGATGGGAATAATGCCTTTGGCTCCCCCAGCTTCTGCATTTTCTAGACTTTTATTGGAATACACACTTAAAATTCACTAAGCTATGTGGCAAGCTACCTTTTCTTATTACTTTTTAGTGTTTAGGATTGCCAGACTATAATGTAACACACATGTTTCCTGCAGACAGCCTTTTCTCCTGCCCCAAAACAAGTTTGAACCTCACAATATTCAAAAGTAATGAGCAGTGATTTCTAAAGTAAACGGAATCAATTTTCTTCTCTTAGAATCATTGAAAATGTGCTCCTATCAGACTCACAGGCATTTCACGACCAGCATGCACTAGGCTCTGAGTTTATCTTGAAGTAAACACCTTGCATAAGTCAATGTTCCCGCTAAGAATTCTAGAGCACTTCAAGTGGCCCTCTGAAACAATCATTTGGGGTCCTCTGAGTACCAGTCTGCATTTTTCAGCTATACAACGTGGACAGACTTTACAACGCACTTCAAGTTGCTTCTGACGTGTTTCATCACAGTTCAGTTTGATTATAATGAATGTGTTGTGCCCCGTCATGGAAACCTGTCCCTTTATAAAGAGCTGCCCTGGCTACAAATTGGTCTGATGGGCTCTCTCCAAGTCCAGGAAGTTATTTAGTATCATCCAGAATAAATGGGGTTGACAAATGTCAATGACGAACAGATCTAAAACAATGAACCTAACAGATGGTAGGTACTTGGGAGACATTTAGACTTTTAGAATTGTACTTCACTAACCATAGATGAAATTTAAAAAGGAATGAGTAAAATATTTTCCGTTGGGAAAGGACTGGTTTATTCCGTTAAACTTAATTGGGGGAACTGGCTTCATTTGTTCTGAAAGGTTCAAATGATTCTCTGAAACTGGTCAGTGGTCATTTGGCCACATACAGATATATGGATATTAATGGCTGTAGTAATAACTATCATGAATTGAGCACCTACTGTGTGTCAGGAAGTGGACAATATCTTTAAATACAGCATGTTCAGCCCTCACAACAATGCCACAAGGCTGACACATTAAGTAACTGCCCCAATGCCACACGCGGTAAGTCGCATACCTTCTCAGAACCAGGTCTGCCTGTACCATCTTCAGTGATCCTTCCAAGACAACAGGCTTCCACATTAGTCCCCAACAGCCAAAACTATTAAAAATTATATTCCCTGTCTGTGGAATCCAGGAACAAAACAAAACAGATAACTTCTAAAATAAATGAGTAAATGAAAGAAGGGCTCTGGAGCCAACAGACACACTGCACTCTTTCTTTTACAAATTTTCTGGCATGCAGGGTTTGCATGTTGGAGCCAGGGAGAGATGAGCTGAACTAATGGCTAATTACTACTTTATGGAGGGAAATTAGAAGTATGCGGATCTCAGCAATTTCTCCTCATCGTTTCCAACTCAAAATGCAAACAGCACACAGTTGAGAAATTTTGGAGTGACTGTTACACTGACCTACTTAGGATATTTGTTATACGGGATTAAAACAACCAGGGAATTGTTGGAACTAGTAGGGACACTGGAGATCCTCTAGTAAAATTCAATCCCTCCTTTCACAGAGGGAGAAAATGGAAACCCAGGGAATTTAAGTGAATCATTGTACAGAATGTGTTTAAATACAACCAGCAAAATAAGGGCAATCTGAGTTACAGAGCCTGTGTATGTAGTGACAAAAAGTACAGGCTTTGGCATCAGACAGACCTGGGATGGTACTCCAAATCAGGTACTTAAAAAATATGGATCCAGAGAAAGATATTTAACCTGAGACTCAATTTTCCCATCTATAAAATGGAAATAAGTGTATCCACCTCATACTGCAGTGTATTAAATGCTGACACAGCAACAGGTACTTGGAGACACTCAATAAGTGATGCATGTAATATAGCCATGAACTCCTCTTTATAATTGTATTAATTTCAGTAGGGTTTTTACTCTGGTAATTCCTCTGAGTTCCTATTAGAAGTATGAAAAGAGAACAATCATACTATCCTATTCAGTGCTTTAGTAGCTAAAAGAAAGGTCTGTTTGGCAAAAGAATATTCCTCAGTTCCGTTTTTTTAAATTTAATTCTTTTTATTGTGCTTCAGGTGAAGGTTAACTGAGCAAATTAATTTTTCATTAAACAATTAATACACACATTGTTTTGTGACACTGGTTGCCAACCCCGTGACATGTCAACACTCTCCCCTTCTCGACCTTGGGTTCCCTATTTCCATTTGTCCGGCTTTCCTGTCCCCTCCTGCCTTCTCGTCCTTGCCCCTGGGCTGGTATGCCCATTTAGTCTCTCATGCAAGGTTGAACTACATGTATTAATGTTTGTTTTATGGGCCTGTCTAATCTTTGGCAAAGGGTGAACCTCAGGAGTGACTTCATTACTGAGCTAAAAGGGGGGTGTCTGGGGGCCATAATCTTGGGATTTCTCCAGTCTCTGTCAGGCCAGTAAGTCTGGTCTTTTTTTGTGAATTGGAATTTTGTTCCACATTTTTCTCCACCTCTGTCTGGGACCCTCTGTTGTGATCCCTGTCAGAGCAGTCGGTGGTGGTAGCCGGGCACCATCTAGTTGTGCTAGACTCAGTCTGGTGGAAGCTATGGTAGTTGTGGTCCATTAGTCCTTTGGACTAATTTTTCCCTTGTGTCTTTGGTTTTCTTCATTCTCGTTGCTCCAGACGGGGTGGGACCAATAGAGTTTCTTAGATGGCTGTTCATAAGCTTTTAAGACCCCAGACGCTACTCACCAAAGAGGATGCAGAACATTTTCTTTAGAGACTGTGTTATGCCAATTGAGCTAGATGTCCCCTGAGTATTCCTGTTTCTTAATGAGGAATATAAGATGCTAGTTGGTAAAAGATGTTATCTGTTCTTTTATCTCCATGGGTGTATCAGAAGGAACTCCCCTTGAACCTCTGCTGAAACAACAGCCCTTAATGAGAAGCACCTTCTTAATTCCCACTTCTTTAGCAAAATCTCAAACTTTCCTTAAATGTAAAGGCCACAGTTATTACACAATAATACTTCCTCTTTTAGAAACAATACAATAAAATGTCACAATAAATTTTCTGCCTGTAGTAAATTTCTGCTGAATGTATTAAATGTAAAATGAAATTAAAGTTTCATACCTTTTGTAACTGCTCAAAAATGTAAGACAGCGTCCTTGGGATAATGCCTCTGTCGCTGTAACGCTCTGCCCCACCAGTGATGGTGAATGTCTTACCACTGCCTGTTTGTCCATATGCAAAGATGGTACCGTTATAACCTGCCAGAACACTGCAATAAAGAAATGGTGCACTTTTAATATTCAAATAGGTAATTGCATTTGTATTAAATGGCTTATATTCTAATAACAATCTTCTTCAACGTTATTAAAAAGACATTTATAAAAATTTATAGAAATATCTATAGAAATATTATCAGCATGAGTAAGTAGTTAGAATTTGCTTTCTTAACTAGGGATACCAGCACATCTATCCCTTTCTCTAAAAAAGGGCCTGTAACTCAAATAGAGTTTAGCTATCTGAAATGTTTTCTTTACCTTTAGTATCCTGAGCTTGAATTAAGGAATATGCTGGAGGAAAAAAGGTCCTAGGGAAACATCACCACCTATAATTTGGCAAAATGCAAATCTGACACCTGGTTCCTCATGTGATGAATACGCACAACAATAGCTACCTCATAGAACACCAGGTACACACTCTGTCACTATGTACCCTATAATGTAATTCCCTACTTAATAACCAGCATCAACTGAAAATCCTCTAAGAATTCCCCTCTTTGCCTTCCTTGAAATGACTTTTTGGTAGACAATGCTGGTCTATATGTGCCCTCAGCCCTGCAGAGCAGCCTTTTATTTGATAGTGGTCTTAAAAACCCTGGACGGTCTCAGCCTTTGTAGACCACCACCTGTAATAAAGGCTTTCAACAACGCGCATAACATGATGCAGGCTTTCAAAAGTGAGTCTTTTATCTGAGCTACAAGGAACAGCAAACTAGTGCAGCTTTATTTTCTTTTTTGTTACAAGTGGCTCCTTGATCTCAAATGTTTTCATCAAACCAGCTATGATGATGCCAGCTAATGGTACCCGCATTGTGAACGGCTTTTTGATAGATGGCGCCTGAGAGAATCACCTCGAACTGTTCACAGTGAGAGTCCTGCTCCAATACTTCTGCGGAAATACTGTCCCACAGTTCTCTCTACATTTCATTATGCTTTTGTGTCTGTGTGTTGAATGAGCTATCATCATGATGCCGCCTCAAAACACACAGGTTTTGGTTAGAACTTACTATGCAGTGGTGAGTTAAGTCTTCAGCAACTTACGCAAATACTAAATTAACAACAGTATCTTCAGTAACAAATCAATGAATCTTTTGCTATGTAGGTAGAAGGTGTTGCTAGTGATTATAAACTTAAAAGACTTAGTAAGGCAGTGAGCAAAACAGTATTACTATTGTGTGGTTCAACTTTCCTCTTTTGAGAGGCTTAATAATTTTTCTCCATGTGTCTATACATGGAGACAACAACACACTGTTGAAATATCCAGCTTGTAAGATGTTGGAACTACCATGATGAATTTAGCTGGATGATTACAGAATCTTTCTCCTCAACAGAATCTGTCACCAATGGTGTAGCAAATGCCCCATTAGCAACATCATTCAGATAGATGATATTCCTTAGCCATAAATGCTTTAGGTAAATGAAGTCTGTAACTTTAAGTATCAAACCTTAAACATTTTATTGATTTTTGATGGAAAACTTTACAAAATATGTTAGGCATTTCCTGACTTAAAAAGCAAAGAACACACAGCACAAATTAGCATTTTCATTATGACTTAGATACATCCTACGAAAAGGGAATACGGAAGCATGCTACAAGATGGTGTCCTCTGATGATCTGTCTACTTTTTATACTGAAATCTTCCTTCTCACTACTAGTTGTCCTAGTATACCTGACTCTAATATGCGCCCTACCCCACTCTGCTGTGGGGTGGAAAAGCAGATGGCAAAGGTTCATAGAATGCTGTGGAAAATAAAAAGGACATAGGCTCCACCTATATATCTTCCCATGGCTAATTATTTATCACATTACTAAAATTTTTAAAATTAAGGAATGTAACCAGGCAAAATTTCTCTTCAGTTTCTTTCTATAGGACCCCACAATCCCAACTCAATGTAGCGCCCCTTCTCCATGGAGTACTAAGCACTTTCAAGTGTTTCTAGTATCATATGTCCTAAAGGAAAATACTCTGATTAAAAATAAAGGAAGAGGTATAGCAGAGTACAAAACTCCGAAAATCTACTGCTCTACTAAAAAAACGAGAACACTGGCAAAAGTTTGTCAAAATCAACTTTTTCAGAAATTATCCTGGAAATTATCCAAAGGCTCACATCAATCCGGTGAGTGTTTGTTTAAGAAAAATGGCTGAATCTCAGTAAGAAAAGTGAGCTTTGTGGCATTTCAACTTGACTAGCTCCACTCTCTTCTCCCCAGTTCAGTGGTAGTCTTGCAAAACAACAGCCTCTTAACCACCAAAACCAAAACCAAACCCATTGCCATCAAGTTGATGCCAACTCATAGCGAGCCACAGAAGCTGTGAAAACCAGCAGCCTAGCAACTTAGGAGTCCTCGCAGTCCTAGCAGCCACTGGAGGGGGTAGAACAGAATCAGAATACCTCAAAAGCTCATCCCCATAGAATTTTAACTATTTAACCTCTCTGACAGCTCCCTGAAATAGCCTCATTCCCAGGATTTGTCTTTTGTGTTTGATCTGACTCAAAGCTCATTCAGTGCAAATAGCCCTATACTGAGGGAGTTTGTTGAAAACAGTCAGTGGCAATTGTTTAACCTCACAGCTGCCTGAGGCTGCAATACCAATGAGGTAAACAAGAAGCTGACCAAAAATTTAAAAGAAAACTATTCAGAATGAGATGTCTATCAGGGGCCTTAAAAAGCTCTAACATATTCCTAGGATTGTAAAAGGCCACACCCATGTGCAGGACTGTGCATATGCTCAGGAAAGACCTAAGAAGGTCATTATACCTCACACTTGGCTGACCTTGAGACTCTGAACAAGCTGAAAGTCAAGGCTAAGGCAGAGTTGTAAACTTCCAGAGAGGTGAAGGTGTGCCCCATAACACACACACAGCCTGTCATCAAAGTCTGGGAGACTGATTGGTTCAAGGCATTTAATTAAATATCTGTCCAATTATTAGCTGAGCAGCAATTTTAGAGGCCATACACAACAAGGAATACAGACTTTACAGAATTAGTCCAAGAAAGTCACTAAACAAATAACAGCAGTAGCAGCAGCAACAACAAACCCTAGAGAAGTGGGAATCTTATTTCCAGAGTTGTCGCATTAAATTAGTTAAAACACCCAGTGTCCAACAACAACAACAAAATGAGAAACAAAACGACACAAGACAGTATTGCCCATACATAAGAAATCAAAAAGTCAACAGAAACAGTCCCTGAGGAATCAATGTAGAAAAGGCTTTTGACAAAATTCAATACCCTTTCATGATAAAAACACTCAACAAGACAGGAACAGAAGGAAAATTCCTCAACTTTTTACAGGGCATTTATACAAACTAACATCATACTCAATGGAGAAAGATTGAGAGCATTCCCCTTAAGATCAGGAACAACACAAGGATGCCTGCTTTAACCACTGATATTCAATACTGTGCTGGAAGTTCTAGCCAGAGTAATTAGGAAAGAAAAAGAAATAAAAGGCATCCAAATTGGGAAGGAAAAGGTAAAACTATCTCTTTTCACTGATGACATGATCCTACATGTCAGAAGACCCCAAAGAATCCACAAGAAAGTTATTAGAGCTAATAAATGAATTCAGCAAAGTGGCAGGACACATGGTCAACACTCAAAAATCAGCGGGGTTTTTATATGCTAGCAACAAGTAATCTGAAAAGGAAATTAAGGAAACACTTCCATTTACAACAGCATCTCAAAGAATAAAACACCTATAAACGAATTTAACCAGAGAGGTGAAAGATTCGTACACTAAAAAATATAAAATATTACTGAAAAAAATTGGAGATGATCTAAACAAATGGAAGGACTTTCTGTGCTCATGGATTGGAAAACTTAATATTGCCAAGATGTCAATACTACTTAAAACTATTTACAGATTCAATGTGATCCCTATAAAAATTCCAACAGCCTTCCTTGCAGAATTTGAAAAGCCAGTCTTCACATTTATATGGAACTTCAAAGGGCTCCAAATAGTCAAAGCAATCTTGAAAAAGAACAAAATAGGAGGACTCATACTTCCCAATCTCAAAACATAAAACAACAGTAATCAAAACAGTGTGGTATTGTTATAATGATAGACATATAAACCAAAGGAACAGACCTAAGAGTTCAGAAATAAGCATGCACGTCTATGGTGAATTAATATTTGACAAGACTGCCAAATCCATACCATGGCTTCTTGCCTCCTGTGAGGTATTTTGGTAAGCTCCCTATGAATTAGCATAGCACATTTATGAAAATACCTCACGGGGAGGGCGCGGTTAGAAAAAAAATGTAGAACATGTGCATTATTTGTGCAAAAATATGGTAGTCTCTTTAATAAATGGTGCTGGGGAAACTGAATTTCCACATGCAAAAGAATCAAGTTAGACCCATACCTCATAACATATATGAAAACTAACTCAAAATGGATCAAAGACCATAAAACTCTTAGAAGAAAACACAGGGGGCAATGCTTCAGGAGCTAGTCTTCAACAGTGGATTCTTAGGTAAGACACTGAAAGTACAAGCACAGCAAAAGACAAAATAGATAAATGGGATCTCATCAAAATTAAAAACTTCTGTGTATCAGAGGACTTTATTAACAAAGTGAAGTGACAACCTACAGACTGGGAGAAAAATTTGGGATACCATATATCATATAAGGTCTTAATATCCAGATTATATAAAGGACTCCTAAAACTTAACAAGAAAAATACAAACCACCCAATCAAACAATAGGCAAAGGATCTGAATAGACATTTCACCAAAAAAGTCTCTCTATCCTAGCTTTTAAGAAGCGTTCTGGCTGTATTTCTTCCAAGACAGATTTGTTCGTTCTGTCAGTCCATGGTATATTCAATATTCTTCACCAACACCATTAATTCAAAGGCATTAATTCTTCTTCAGTCTTCCTTATTCCTCTTTACTTTTTAGCACTTGAAAGAGGGCTTTTGCAGCAGATTTGCCCACTGTAATACATCGTGTGATTTCTTTCTTTTTTTTTTCCTTCTTTTTTTT